CTCCAGTTGCTGCTGGATGCGGTGGTATTCACTCCGACTTGCTGGCACTGCCGTTGGAGAAAGGGGAAAAGACAGCTGAGGATGTGGCTGAGAAATCCGGAATAAAGCAGGACCCCAGTATCCGTGGGATCAGTATCCGCTGATTCACTTATCCACTAGCTGAAAATACTAAATAAAAAACCTCATAAAGACATACTGATGCATATTTCCAGGGTGTATCTATCAGCACCGGTCACCGGAGGGAACCAGAGACAATGCAAGACATAGCATTCAATACTTCCATGCTTTTCGGCATCCCCTTGTGGATACTGCAGTCCCACTACAGAAGTGAAGGCTTGAGCAGTGGGCAAAGCCACCTGAGTGGCAGAGAGCAAGTACTCACTGAATTCTCCTCTCCACTGCCACGTCATCCTCCGCTGACAATTGGCGCCGGGCCTGTTAAAGTCACAGGCCGCACATGTGGCCTCATCCACCACCGCTGAAGGCTGAAGTGGGCAAAGGGAAGATGGAGAGAAGAAATAAGGTAGTTGGGGGAAGAAAAGAGCTTGGAAGACTCCCTGTGGGGGCTAACACACCTGGACCCCACCCTCCAGGGCAGGAGGAGGAACAGGAGCAGAAAATGGACACAAGAGGGTTCTTATTAAGAACAGTGCTCATACATTTCTCTCTTAATGAGCACAGGGGAGAGAGGTAAGGAGGGCCTTCTCTGTGGCTGCAGCTCCCAGACTCTGGAACTCCCTCCCACTGGAGGCCAGCCTGGCCCCGTCTTGGCCTTAAGGGGTAGCAGAAGATGCTTCCTGGATGCCCACATCTCCACGATACAGACGGAGGAGGAACTCTTAGCCTTTGAGAAGCCCCTGCTCACCTGTAGCCGGTTGGTCAGGATGATGTTAGGGTACATGGCACCCACATCCAAATGGTAGATCAGGGGGCACTCAATCCTGTTGGGGACGTCCTTCAGGGAGCTCAGCTTCACCTTGATCTCTTCACAAACCTGCAGCAAGGCCAAGAGGAAATTGGCTCCAGACAGTGATCCCTGACCAGGCTCCTTAGGCGGCGACAGGGATCACACGAGATCATGGCACACCAGATCTTAGACCGGAGGTGGTTCCATTGTTAAAATATGGGCCATGTGTGTCATTCCTGGTCACTTCAACAAAAGGGTCAGTGGGAAGAGGAGCAGCAGAAAATAATAATATACAAGCAACAGCCATGCTCAGCATTGGTTAGGCCCCCTCTAGAATACGATGTCCAGTTCTGGACACCATATTTTATGGAGGACGCCAACAAACTGGAGCACGTTAAGAAGAAGGCAGCGAGGTTATGATCAGGACCCCAAGCCCTGGGAAGAAAGACTGAAAGAGCTGGGCATGCTTAGAGAAAAGAAGACTGAGGGGTGACAGGATAGCACTTTTCAGATATTTGAAAGGCTGTCCTACAGAGGAGGGGCAGGGTCTGTTCTCGATCATCCCAGAGTGCAGGGCACATAATAAGGGGCTCAAGCTGCAGGGAAGCCAGATTTAGGCTGAATATCAGGAAAAACGTCTTAACTGTAAGAGCAGAACGACAATGGAACCCATGATAACGGGAGGCGTTGAGGGCTCCAACGCTGGAGGTATTGAAGAGAAAATTGGACAACCATCTGTCAGATCTGCTTTGATTTGTATTCCTGCTTTGAGCAGAGTCCCTTTCAAATCCATTATTCTGATTCTTTGAAAAGCCAAACATGTGACAAACCGAACTGCAACGACCACCAGCTGGTCAAAACAAGAAGGCGAAAGGCAAGGTTACCTCTTGGAAGTTAGTCACTTGTTCCAGGGGAATTCCCTCCTCTTCCTCGATGGCGTGGCGCATCGTCTTTTCCACCCGTTGCAGGAGGAAGTCGAACGCAGCCGGGTTCTAAATGACACAAAGGCAGGATGGGTGAGGGAGGAAGGAGAAGCACTTGTTCTTTCTGTCCCATGCCCAAGGCCCTGTCACGTATTTTCCACTTCGCTGGCCAGGATCCATGGGACAATTGAGATTTTGTGGCAGCTTCCTTCTCTGGGTTAAGGGACGAGAGGGGTGTTTTATCTGACATTTCCCCCCACCCTTGCCTGGACCGAACTATCCACGAGCAAAGCTGGGAAGGTTCGCCCGGAGGCGCAGTCATACCATCTTAAAACGACAAGGGATGTCGCTACGGAAGACTCCCGACTCCAGCGCTTCCACGTGGCCCCCGACGTAGGTCTCCGAGTCCAGGACGTGTCCATCCCTGGTCAGCTTGTTGAACTCCTGCTCCTGCTTGTTGGGGAAGACGATGTTGGCGTGATAGGCCTGGACCATGAGCAGGGCCTCGCACAGGGTGCCGGATCCCTTGCGCAGCACCTGTCGGACATATGAGAGAGAAAGAGAGAGAGAGAGATGGGTTTGCGGGAGAATTAAAATCCTAACAGATCTTCAGTGCAGGGGTTCCCAAACTTAGGGTCAGCCAAGGTGTTCTTGGACGGCAACTCCCAGAAAATCAGATTCATTGAATTCTCCGTTCCACTTTGGAGGGCAGGAATACAGAAGCGGTGTGGAGAATTCTGCCTATCAATGCTAGAGCTACAATGGCATCAGGTAAGGGAGGTTTTTCAGACACTGGGAACAGAGAAACGACAGCTTGGATTATTAGCCATGGAGAAACAGAAAAACAAGGAAAAGGATTGGGCTTCACCCAGGATCTATACCTCTCATGATTATTTGCCATTTTTACTTAGTTGTAGTATGCAAGAATCACTTTAATACTGCCGTATCTAACAGGGAGAAAGGCCTCAGCTCTGAGGTAAGCTCTGAGGTTCAGCTTGCCTAGTTCTGTCCCAGCTTAAAAAACAGGTAGGAAATTTGTAGGTCTCGCAGCCCCATCTTTCTGAATCCCAAATCTTTACTATTTTGTAAAGCAGAGCAAGACTCAAAGCACCTTGTCAGGATTTTCCGTCCATTTGAGTTAACCTGGAAGTCCCTTTTTTAATAATCATACACCCACCCTGTGCAGAATATTATAACTTTCGCTGCTTTTGTTTAGGAAAGGTTCCCGTACTAGAGGCTTCGAGGCACTGGTGGCAGGACCAGGCGTTGCCGCAAGGAAAGGGGCAACTTCACAGAGGGCGGGAGGTTTGGATGGGGTTGCTGCAGCCAAGGGCCCAGACTTGGTTTGCTGGAGTCCTCCTCCTATTGGGATGCTTGAGCTAATCCTGGCAAACATGGGCTGAAGCCCCAAGACACACTCACCTCATCCGGCTCCATGGGAATGATGGTGCACAAGGCAAAGATGAAGGGGTGGACGTACTTCATGTACATGTAATAGGTGGCAACGGCGTCGGACACTGAATAGGTGGCCAGAGTCTGGGAGAAGCGGCAGAATGGAACCAGGTCAAGGCTTTGGGTTAAAAAGACCCACTTCCCTCCCCCACACTGTGTATCTGGATAAGGAGGGATTCTGAATAACCAACCCTCCTCATCACTCTGAAAGGCCCAAGACCTGACGGGTAATCTTGCTTATCAAAAGCACAGACTGGGGAAGGTCTGAGTGGTTCTTCCACACCTGAATGGGGTGGTGGTGGGGTTTGCTGGTCTGAGATTTAACAACCTTCCCCCCACAAATGTGTGCACAAGTCACAAAGGGCAACACAGTGCACAAATCCAGATGCTCTGGGTTCTGGACAGGGTCTCACATCTCGTCCACCAAGCATCGTTATTATTAACTGGCTGAAATCCTGTTGCGTTACATCAGTACAGTTGAAATTTTTGTATTTTCTGTGCCGGTAAATAAAACCAGTAAACGAAGAGGCCCTGCCGTGATTATGGGGGGCACCTGCGCATGCTGGAGCGGGGTGTGTTTGTAGGCTCCTGGAAATCACAGTAGGGGCTCTTTACGACAAGTGAGGAATGGACCAAAACTTGATCCTTTGCTCACAGTACGCAACAGGATTTTGGCCAGTGAAGCCAAGGGACAGGACGTGTGAGTCACAAGAATTCCCCCGGGAGAAGACTTGCGGTTTCCCAACTGGGCTGTCACGACAGAGCTGTTTCCATTCAAGTTTCAACGAAAGCTGCACAGAGGGGCCTCACAACTCATCAAATGCCACCTTTCTCCTTTGGGGAGCCCCCAAGGCACAGTGATTCCAGTCTGCATGCCCAGGACACCTGGGCGAAGGCGACAGCCTGGCCAGAAAGCCCACTGGGCTTGTTGGGGGTAAAGGGAGCCTCCCCTGTCACGACAGAGCTGTTTCCATTCAAGTTTCAACGAAAGCTGCACAGAGGGGCCTCACAACTCATCAAATGCCACCTTTCTCCTTTGGGGAGCCCCCAAGGCACAGTGATTCCAGTCTGCATGCCCAGGACACCTGGGCGAAGGCGACAGCCTGGCCAGAAAGCCCACTGGGCTTGTTGGGGGTAAAGGGAGCCTCCCCTTCTGCATTGCATGGACACAGTCTGAAAGTATTAACATGAACAGAAAAATCCACAAATATATATTTCTAAAGCTGAAGGTGCCAGATCTCGATACTATAGGAAGCCAGAGAACATGTTAATATATATTGATCACTATGAAAATAAGAGTTTGCTATTACTGTATCCATGTTTTTCAGCCTCCGCAGAAGGCTTGGAACAGATCCTCCCCAGATATGGATATTCTACTGTACATAAAATAATAAATACACGTGAAAGCATAGTTATCTATAGAGAAACAGGAAGCAGGAAAGCTAGCTTAATTTGAAATGGAAGTTGGAGGTGTCAGGAGAGGCCAGCACACTTCAGACTTCCTAACTACAGAGAATCTTTGCTGTCTTCCCTCCTCCCACGTAGTCTATCAAAGGGCCCCTGTATGGCTGAAGAACATGCTTCTATGATACTAAAGCAAAAAGCAAAAGCTGCGTATATGCTGCCCCATAAAGCGCTCTTTGGGCAGATTACCATTCAGTTATGCAGGGTTCACATCTGCCCTCCTGCAATGAGCTGGGTACTCAATTCATCAGCCTTGAAAGGCTGGAAGGCTAAGTGAACCTCAAGCTGTCCACCTGGGATTGAACCTGAGTTTTGAGCAGAGCTTTGGGTGCAGTACTGCAGTTTAACCATAGTGCCACACAAGACTCCTACTAAGTGAGAGGATATCTGAGTCGGCATGATATAAAATGCACCCTGCGACTCCTTCCCATCGTGGGTTACCTGTTGTAGGGAGATGATGGCCAGGGGGTGGACTACTACCTGACTCTTCCCACCCCGCCCTCTCTATCAGGTGGAATTCGGAAAGGATGCAAGGGCAGGCGTCTCCTACCTGAGACAATCCATGTGGATGCACTGGGAGGACTTGTATTCCCCTTGGCTGTCCTTCTGGAATCCAATCTCTTGCTGCATATTCAGTCCATGAACCGCCGCCCGGGCTTCCACAAAGGGCCTGGAGACCGAGGAAGAGCGAGGAAGCCACAAGAAACAGAAGGATGTTTAATTTCTTATGCTTTAGGAATGGCAACCAACATTCCAGAACAAAAAACAAGCTCACGGGACACGCAAGAAAATATCCGTTTCAGGTTCCCAGCTGTCACGTGTACACCTGGGACAGACCATGCGAGATGACGGAGCCTTGCTCGCTCCTTCATGAGCAGTCAGCAGGATTTCTCTTGTCTTCCTCCTTCCCAAAGATATTTTTTGTGCCTCGGCAAAAGAGAGGGGTGCAGCTCAAGGAATCCACTGCATTAGTTAGTGGTTTTCTTGAGCCACAACCCTCTTTTGCCGAGATGTTATATTTGCCCAGATGGGACTCCACCTAGGCATGAATGTGCTACAATTCCAGCCATGATGAACTAGCTTTTAGCTTGTATTTATGAATTTTTCTGCACGATGGCTTAGGGTAGGGACTCCTCTGGATTTAAAAGGTTTATTCTCTCTCTCTGTGAAATATAGGGTGAATCAGGATTGTATAAGTTGCCTAACAAACCTTGTAACATGGCATGTGAAGAATTGTTTCTAGTCTGTGGCTCCCTTCAAATGTGCTGTGTGGGGCGGGGGAGGCAGCCATATGGCCCCCACGGGGAATGGCTGGTCTAGACTGTAATCTCAAGAATGGAGGTCACTCCAATTCTCACCAGTCAAAGAAGTCTCCGTTATAGGTCACCATGATAGTCGGCTTGGTTTCTTGAACATGTTCAAACCACCGCTGGAGAAGATGGGCCTGGTTTTACAAGGAGAGAAGCAGTGCATATAAAACTAGAACACGGTAGGACTACAGGATCTTGGGGGGGATCAGTTCCAAGCCCCCACCCACCCGCAACAGATGCTGGACAGCACAGACATAAAAACCATATATATGGCATAATATCTGGTTTCCTCTAGTAGCCAGTTCTGGCCACAGATCCTGGAACCGCAGATTTCTGAGTATTAATATTTTTAGGCAGCGGATAAGTGGAACCCGTGGATATGGCAATCAAACTGTATTCAGTGAACGACAGACTAGTACAATTCCCTCTAGGTGACCAGCTACTCTCCTAGCCCAGAGACCATGTCTACACTCTATGCCAAAACAGAAACCAATGTTCCCCATTCTGCATTCAGTAAAGGGTTGATGCATTTATCTGTGCGAGCTTTCTCTTTAGTTTCTTCTCTGACACAGATAACTGTTATTTTTGAAGAATGTTTTTGCTAGGTCATCTGAAAATACGTCACCTGAAAATGATGTGGCTGCAACAGTTACTGGGGATACAAGCGGCAGAGGCCTAAATAGAAAGAATTCCCTTCTTACTCAGGTGGCTGAAAGCCCAGTGCAGACAACTCCAGGTTCCTGATGATTCATTACACACTAATATTAATTTGAGAGCCAGTGTGGTGGAGTGGACTAGTGTTGGACTAGGACTCAGGAGACCTGGGTTCAAATCTCCATCCCACCATGAAAACTCACTGGCCAGTGGCAAAGACAAACCACACCTTGAACAGCTTGAAAGCCATGTTATGGCCTCTGAAGCTACGTAACAGACGGCGGGGCTGAAACCACGAATGGACAGGACTTGAGCCCAAAAAAGCAAAAACACGGCTACCCTCCCTCTCCCTTTCTCTGTGCCATTCCTCCTCTTTCTTTCCTCTCCATCTGGTCGGCAGCTGGGGAAGAGGCAGACGGCTTCCCCACAGGCCTGGACTGAACGCTGAGAAAGACATTAGAACAAGGGATATCCTGTGGTTCTAAAGCGGCAGGTCGTTCCCCATAGGTAACAAATTGCATTCTTTGTTTCCAGAACCACGACTGGTTTTGCTGGCTTGTGGCTTAAGGAAAAAGAAAAGAGAACGGCGGTTATCTAGACCCGTTACCTTCCCAAACGAAGTGGGCTTACCTCATCTGGTTCATTAAAGACACAAAAGGGACCTTCGTATTCTGGTTTGGGAGTAAACTCGAAATCTTCAATGTCTTCTGAGACGATCTCCCTGTTTGTAATCAAGTAACCCTGTCCGGTCAGAAGAAAAAAGGGACATTTGACCGAAGAAACGAGCTGCAGACAAGACGTTGCCTTACCCTCCGACGATTCTCTTAAGAGGCTACTAAATGCAGCGCGAGGCATCCCACGTCTCTGCCTTCCCTAGTCTCGTCTCATGGTGGAACTGCCCTGCTCAACCGACTCCAGCTGCCTTGGAATGCTCCTGCCCTCATTCTAGAACGAGGAGGAGGGCAACAAAGGAGAAGGCAAGCTAGGCGGAGCTGGGCACGAAATGAACTGGCACAGCATACAAGCAGGCCGTGCACTTGGGCCAGGAGAGAGGAACTCAGAGCAGTCAAGAAACATCCGATTTCAGCCCCCTCTACCTAGGCAAACCACGGCCCTCAAATGCATGATTTCCTTGAGAGGGGGTGTGTGTCATTCTGTATCCTCCCTTCCTATCTCTTCTCTACGACACAGGCAGGAGCATCCTCATTGCCTGACTCATCTCTCTGTCGCAGTGAAAACTGTTGGGAATTGTTAGCCATTCAATAGGTGGATTCAGGCACGATCACCGGAGAGGAGGAACTGCTTGTTTATTAGCATGCCAGGTGACTTGCATGAGCCCCTTCCTCTTCTTGACCAATTCACCAGCTCTCTTTCTTTGGTGGGTGAGCAAGGATGAGCCTTCCTCTATCTTCAGTCGCTTTACTGCCTTTGTTTTAGGCCCCACACATTTGGGGACACGAAGGATGCACTGATGAGTTTGTCCTCGTGTCCCCCCCCCCTTCTCTCAGCCATATGTAGCCTGCACAATTAAATTGTAAACTGCTCAGAGAGTGCTTTAAGCGCTATGGGGCATTATATAAGCAGCATGCTTTGCTTTGCTTGGCTTGAGCCATGGAGGCCACCACCCCAACTACCTGGCCGTCAATCATGTAGGAGATCATCATGATCTGGTCCGTTTCTGCATCAGGAAATTTCAAAGGAAGCTTGGTGGTCTCAATATCAAAGGCCAGAACGACAGGATCCTAGGAAAGGAAAGGATCATCAACATCTATCTCATCACTATCAGAGGTTAGGCTAAAATCAACAATCCTAAATGCAAAAAAAAAAGTGCAATCTAGCACCCACACTTGTTTGGCTATAACACCTGTTATCTTCCAAGCTCACCAGCACATAAGAGATGCCAATGCTGGGAATTTTGTCTTAAGAGTTTTACAACCTCGCAGGCTCCCTTTAGTAGGCGTGGCTGGGAGGGACCTTTCTGGGCTGGGGCGATGGTCAATCTATCCAGCACTAAACCGTCCTTCTCTGCCTCTGAATTCAAAGAGAGCCCTGCCGCTTTGATTTCGAGCTTTTTCCCATGCTAGGCTACTGAAGTCTGTTGCTGAAAGCAACCATGTTTGTCAGTTTGCAGTTCAATCTGTTCCAACTGTAAGTAATAAAATCTTTTATTCTTTCTTCTCATAAATGTCTCCGAGCGAGACCGCAAGTGCCAGTTAATGAGAAAAGGGGTGAGCTACTGTGGGAAACTTGAAGCTATTCCTGCTCAGTGAATCCTTGCACTTCTGCTGTTCAGCGAGGAATTTAACCAAAAATTCAAAACTCTGTAACATTTTATATCCCAGCTTCTTAAGATTTCGCAGGGTGACAAAAATGAGCAAATAATTTACAAAAATGGTTGTTGTGGGTTTTTCAGGCTCTTTGGCCGTGTTCTGAAGGTTGTTCTTCCTAACGTTTCGCCAGTCTCTGTGGCCGGCATCTTCAGAGGACAG